TCTTTTTGTTCAGTAACGGTATTACATTTTTATTTGTTTCAACAAAATCATCTGACTCAAACATCGCATTAAATACGGGCGAACACGATGCTAAAATGAAGCGATGCACGTAAAGCTCTTCGTCTTCAACCAAAATAGTAAGATCATCTTTTCTGTTAAACTCCCAATACTTTTTGTCCATTTAAACTAAAATGTAATATGAAAAATAATTCCTAAGATAAAACACTGATACAATAAATAAATCAAAAACATTTAATAAGTAAAAAGTAATAAGAACTGTTTGCAAATCGATAAAAAAAACTTTATAAAAAAAATAAAATATAATAGCTATTAAAGTGTTAAACGTAAAAGGATTCAAAACCCAAATAAGTTATTATTAATAACTCAAGCGTAAAGCGCTTGGATGTGCACAAACAATTTAAATAAGGAGTTAAGGGTGTTCAAGCGTAAATCATCAGGGTGCACAACATATGTATGCAAGTGATATTAAGTCTAGCGTAAAACATTTTATGAAAAGACACTGATAGAATTGCAAAATAAAAAAGTTAAAAAGCAAAACAGAAAATAAATAAATAAATAATAAAGCTAATTGACAAAGTATGTATGGGTAATCTGTAGAATACGCGTTCGATTTGTATGCATATATATATATATATATATATATATATATATATATATATATATATATATATATATATATATATATATATATATATACTATATATATATATATATATATATATATATATATATATATATATATATATATATATATATATATATATATATATATATATATATATATATATATATATATATATATATATATATATATATATATGTGCATACAAATCGAACGCGTATTCTACAGATTACCCATACATACTTTGTCAATTAGCTTTATTATTTATTTATTTATTTTCTGTGTTGCTTTTTAACTTTTTTATAAATATATATATATATATATATATATATATATATATATATATATATATATATATATATATATATATATATATTTATATATACATATATATTATATATATACATATATATGAAAACACACCAACAGGGCAGGCACACTGCTTATTAACTAAAACATTGCATTGACAGGATCTGTTAAAACCGTTTGTAGTTTATATAAAGCAGCATGTAAGATAGCAAAAACATTAGTTAGCAAAAAAAATTAAATAATCGCTTTTCAACTTGAATATATATTTGAAAAAAAAGTTTAACTTAATATAACTATTAAAACAAAGCTAGAGCAAAAACAAAAGAACTTATGCACGGTTATTTTTCTGAAACGATTTGAATGAAGTTAAAAACCGGAAAACATAATAGTATTTCAGTTTCATAATTTTGCGATTATTTAAAAACTAATTTCAATATTTTGATGGAGGTTAAACTAACATTTGAGTTGTATAACTTAATTAAAGAATTTAACAAACATTACTTTATTTCGTTTTATAGAAGATTATTTTTTTAAATATTTTCTTTTATTAATTTAAAAAAATCAAAGTGAATATTTTGGTTAAAACAACTTTTCTACTTTAGGGGAGACCGGGGCTAGTTGTAACAGGGGTTTGTTGCAACAATGCGGTTTTAAGAATGTTTTTTATATACTTTAAAAACCTACAGTTATCAATTGAAATTTTTAAAAGTTATTGATATATATTTTTTTTTGATAAAAAATTCTAAATTTCGTTTTTGAAGTTTTTTTGGGTTTTACTTTAAACTTCAAGGTATATGACAATAATAAAGTAATCGTAACTTAAATAAATCTTTTTCAAACACGAAAAGCTAAAAATAATAGACTTTTTCAATATAAATAATTATATACAATGACTAAAGTGTTTATGATACCTAATAAGTTGCATAAAAATGCTAGGGGTAAGTTGAATCATAAATTTGCTGCGGTTTTGTTGATTTTACGAACTATTCTAGTTTTTTTCTAAAATAATGGACGCTTTTTTTATATAACAGCGTAACAATAAACGAAAACAAAATATGTAAATAACGTATATATACATGTATATTATATGTACTTTATGTATAAATTTATACATAATATACATATAACATACATGTATATATACATAATATATAATACATAAATATATATATACATATATATACATACATAAGCTTCATATATTATATATACATATACAACTTATATAAACTTATCTTCATCATTAATTTTTTTTTTTAAATTCAAATATATATGTATATATATATATATATATATATATATATATATATATATATATATATATATATATATATATATATATATATATATATATATATGTATATATATATGTATATAGATGCACACATACATGCATAGATACATTAATCATACATACATAAATAAATAATGATGTAGATAAAAAAACTCTAACCACTGAGCAGCCGTGGCGCAGTGGTTAGAGTTCTGGCTCAGAACCCAGAGGTTCGAGGTTCGACGCCAGCTCTAGCTCTAGCTCTACAAGTGACATTGGTACGGAAGGAGGCGTGAACTTCCTGTTAAATGCTCTGCAACGGTGCTCTATGATAAGACCGTAAAGACTTCTGGGAGCACCTAAATACATATAAAAAAGTTGTATAAAACGACTTTTGTAATATTTTTTAATTTTATTGTTATTTGATTAAACTGTTATTTTGTGATTTAGTAAAAATTGTAAACAAGAACTTACAAGAGAAAAACTGAAAAAAGACTTTATCCAACAGCAGTCTTAATGGAGGCAGCAAACCATGTTTTTGATGAAAAATAATATCGATTAGAGCATCAGCAAAAAAGTATGGGATCCACTACTCAACTCTTTTCCGTTAGATAAAGTAAAAAAAGCTGTTGATATAATAATGCCGCTACCTATTCCTGGTTATATAAAGTCACGCCAAGTTTTCAATTTAAAACAAGAAAAAGCTATTGCTTGATATATATCAACAGCTTCTGATAATTATTTTTGATTATCCCCATACGAAGAACGAAAGCTTGCATTTGAATGTGCTATAAAGTGTAACATTAATTTTCCAAAATCATGGGTAAAACTTTTTAATGGCTGGTCGTGACTGGATGAGAGGGTTTTTAAATCGACATTCAGGATTGTTTATCAGAACTCCAGAAGCAACAAGTCTTGCACGAGCAACTAGTTTTAATCGTGCTAAATTATCAGATGTTTTAAATAGACATCATTTTTCTGCATCTAATATTTACAATGTTGATGAGACTGGTTTCCCACTGTGCAAAAACCAAACAAGATTTAAAAAAATTTTTGTTGCCAATTAAAAAATGCAGATTAACTAGTAATTTTTTTGTAAACTCTGCAAGGCTTATACTTTTTGAGTATTGTGTTGCAACTTACCCCGTTTACTGTTGCAACTTACCCCGATGCGGGGTAACTTGCAACATTTTTTTTTTTAAATTTCTGTTTTACTATTGCGAAAATGTTGGATAAATATGTCTCTAGGATCTATTTTATAACTCTGAAAAGAAATTTCACAAATATTACAATTTAAGGAGATAAATGCAGTTTTTTAAATTTTGTTGCAACTAGCCCCGGCCGCCTCTACTTTTTACATATGCTCTAATTAAAATTTTTATCCAATTTTATTTTTTAACTACCATAAGAAAAAATAAGTACCAATAAATATACATAAAAATAAAGCATTCAGAGGACACGGTGTAGTTCTCTGGCGAAGATTATACACTTTATACATTTGATCTAATCTAGAGTTCGCTATCCAAGTCACCTCACCTCACCAGTGGTGATATCAAAAAATTAGACAAAGTTTAACATTGTGCAAAAAATTAATAAAACTTTTAGAAACACCATGCTTATGAAAAAAAGACAAGATGCACTGAGACTTGTACTGCCCAAGTGAGACAATTTAATTTCATGACTGAAGTAAGTTTAGGTTTACTCGCAGTTCTGTAGCATTTAAACCCTAGTTCTGCTATTCGACGCCTTGTAGTTATGTTAGAAATTTTATTACACAGCAAAATCCACGATTCTTGTTTTAAGCAAAAAAAGTCCTAAAACAAGAAAAAAATGACTTGTCCGCCACGTAAGAATATTTTTTCTTGTTTAAAAATTTTTTGGCTTAAAATAAGAATTTTTTTTCTTGTTTTAAGAATTTTTTTTCTTAAATATATTTCATTTCTTGTTACAAGAATTTTTATTCTTGTTTTAAGAATTTTCTTTTTTTAAGAATTTTAATTCTTAAAATAAGAATTTTTTTTTTGTTTCAAGAATTTATATTCTTAAAATAAGAATTCTTTTTCTTGTTTCAAGAATTTATATTTTAATAAAGAGCTTCTTTTCTTGTTTCGATAATATTTTTGCACAAATTAAGACTTTTGTTTAAAAAAATATTTATACATTTAAACAACTCTCATTGTTAAAATAACACTTGTTGTTCTTTGAATGTCCAGTTATTGGCCGTGCTTGTATAGGCAATTCTCCTCCCATAGGCTACTCGTCTGATTCAAGCAAGTTTTTGTCAAACTTTCGTCTTTAAATAAAATATAATGAAAGATTGTATATGCTGTCATGGCATGGGCGTCATATTCCATATCCATGACATAGTGTATTCCGATAAGACCTATCACGGCGTAAGAATATGAAAAACTGCGTAAAATATATATATATATATATATATATATATATATATATATATAAATTTATATATATATATATATATATAAATTTATATATATATATATATATATATATATATATTTATATATATATATATATATATATATATATATATATATATATATATATATATATATATATATATATATATATATATATATATATATATATATATATATATATATATATATATATATATATATATATATATATATATATATATATAATAGGAGTTTCATTACATGGCTCTACAATCAATAAAAATCATAGGTTTTATAAAAATAAGGTAAGGTATTATTAATAGGATAAAAAGTTAGCTATGTAACATGAACTTACTTTTGACAGGTGGTGATGAACCTAATTCACTCACACTCTGACCTGAAATATAAAAGTAAATGTTTTTAAAACTTAGATTTTAAGTAGCGCATTTCTCAGATAGGAATTATAAATTTGGGAATGTTTAAATAAAATCGAGCACCTAAGGGTCCTTAGCCAATGGCTATCATCTTATTTATGGAATTGCGGAAAAAATACCTAGTCCTGATCTGTATATTTTATGGTGTAAAACTAGAGGGTGTAACTTTGGAGAGCATCTAGTTGTTAATATTTGCTACCGAATTTCATAACTTAATTTCCATTCAGAAAATGATATAATGGAAAACCATGTGCAAAAACCACACATGTAAATAAATAATAAAAATAAAAACATACTTGATGAAAAACCAACATTAGTTTCTCCTCCATTTTTCAGTGTCGTTTTTATCAAACTTTTAATCCGTTTATTTTGTATTGGTTTTTCATTATAAAAACTTTTCCTTAACTTGTTGAACAATGTAATCTAAAAAGCAAAAACAAAATATTAACCTTCACATTTAATGTTTCAGATATCTCTCAGTTGTCTTTGTATTTTGTAGCATAAATAATATGAAAATGTATGTGAACGTGGTTTACATTTTGCAAGATCAAAACTGATTTCTTCCCTTCTTTAAATTGAATTAAAAGTATTATTAAATAGAATCAATTATTATGTTCTGTAACAAATTCACTAAAAAAAAATAAAAAAAGATTACATGTTTTGATGTCTTGTCATTCAGGCAAGGGTATTTAATAACTAAAGACTTTGACATTTCTAAAAGGTCTTGTCTTGTTGGATACTGATTCATCAATGAGGCATGTGCATTCATTATTTTGATTGTTCCTCTGACCATCCGGTTATATAGCTCACTACTTATAAAGTTTTTTACAGCAGCATTTGCAAATTCCAGATCATGATATATTGGATATGATGATCCAATGTATTTTGACTGCTCTGGACACTTAAATACTTCAATTAAATATTGACAAAGTTAAATAAAAACTAAAAAATATTTCCAAACACCAAATGCTTCCAAAATAAAATAAAAATCACTTTTAAGAAAAATCCTTAAAAAAAATAATTAAATTGAGAAGAGAAATAATATGAATTAAAAAATTAATATTTTTTATAAATTTAAAGTATATTAAACCTTATTCTTGTCAAGTATAGCATTATTATTCATGTCAATATCATTGTTATTGTCATCATCAACATCTTTAATTAGTCTTTTTGATGTTACGCCATTACTTCTAATAAAAGCATTTTTAAAGCATAGCATTATCACATATATTAATAACAGATATTTAAAAAATACATAGTTACTATTTCTCAAGGGTAAAAACAATAACAGTGCATCCCTTAGGATACAATGTTACGTGAATATCATTTACCTCATTTCTGCATCAACACTTTGAGAACAAGTCTGATTATTGTTCTGATATATGTCTTCTTTAGACAATACAACATCAACTAACTGAACAAAAATAAAAATATATAAATAAAAATATTCTTATAGAAATGTAAATTTCAAATTAATGTGTCAAAGCAAACTAATTCTAAAAAAAATCTTAAAAACTGTTACTGAAGTATCCGATGTTATATTCTCATGAAAATCAGCGTCTGATATATTTAACTAAAGTAAAAAAAAAAAAAAAAATTAAATCCTTCATGTTTTTGTTTTTTTTTCATTAGTTGTTTATTCAACATTCAATCTATTAAAGCTTCTTAATACAAATCACAGATTGGGAAAATGTCATTCATGAATAATTTAAATTGCAAAATACACTGCATGTTGCTAATTAACACATGTATATGTACCTCATGCATAACCTGTTTTAACTCGGTTTGAATGAGCTTCCATAACTTTGCCCTTAAAAGTATTTGAGTTTTTAAAGAAAAAAGTTCACTTAAGGTTTCGTAAATAATCTCGAAAAATCACGATCATCTACAATTCCTGCATCTAAAAAAAAACGAATGTTTATAAAAAATAATAAAATAATATCAATGATAAAAAAACAACATTTATTTGTTTATTTTAAAACAACAGAATGACCCAAAAGCCACTAATACTTAAGTATACATCAGAGAATTTTCTACTGCAATATTCCAATTGTATTAAGTGTTAGAATAAGTTTAAACAAAATTCTATCAAGTTGAACATAGTATGAGATGTTTTTCAAACATCGAGATAAATGGTGCAGATTTTGCGGTAAATTGTTCCACGAATTAATATTCAACAAAAGAAATACTTGGTGCTGTTAAAATTACAATGGAGCTTTTATAGTTTAAAGTTATGACCACGATTACCTAAGTAACAATTAAGAATAAAAATGAAAGGTCAGTGTCCAGTTTATCATTAAGAACATTTTAACATAAAACTAAATCCTTAAACCTTCAACGATATTCTGTGTATTGAGCTTTAGTATGGTTATGTATTCCCTGGTTTTCTAAATTTTAAAAACTTATTCCTTTGGGTGTTATTATTGCAGGGTTTGAAACCTGCACTAGAAATCACAACAATGAGCATGTTCTAGTTTTTTTAACGGAAAAAAATGTTTACTTACATTTATCAATTCGTTTACCTCTAAAATTACTAATGTATCCTGGAAATTCATCACGAACTTTATTAAAGATTGTTTTCATCCTATTAACAATTAACAACAAGACCAAACAAGTTAACAACGAGCATGTATTTATGAAAGACGCGATATTTTTTTTAAAAAGTTTGTTTAATTGTTTTTTTTTTAAACGTTTAATCACGTGTTGCTTAATCATATACACTGAAACATCGTAAAATAAAAATGGAATATATCAACTTCCGTGTTGATATATTCCATTTTTATTTTACGATGTTTGATTAAGCAACACGTGATTAAACGTTAAAAAAAAAAAAACAATTAAAAAGAAATTAAAAAAAAATATATCGCGTCTTTCATAGTTGTTAACTTGTTAATATAAATTAATAATAATACAAGATCCGGTGTTTCCTAGTAATTAAAGAAATTTAATGTATTTAAATCTACAAATAAATCTAAATGTTTAACTTAGACATTTTTATAAAATTTATTTCCACCACGTCATTGTTTAATATTTCTTCCTCATATTCAATATCAACTACATTTTAACATTCTGGTGTATTTCTATCTTCATAAATATCAAATTGATTTTGTACTTGAGATTCAATATTTTTGTTGGAATAATTTTTTGAAGAGTGCTTTTCTTGAAACACATTGTATTTTTCATAATCATCTTTATGATGTCAAATTGTATGTTTGTACAAAGAGTTGTATTTGACAAAAGATATTGAACATCCATCAACAATACATTCACATTTAAAATCCAAACTCGAGCTATGAACTTGATAAACATGACTAAGTGCTGTTTTCAAATTGAGAGAGACAAATACATCGCAGCAATTACACTTAAACATAACATAAAAGTTGCTCAATCAACCATTTTTTACCAAGTGCCAGAGTTTTCCTTTTTAAAAAAAAAAATGATCTGATCATCTATTTTCTTTGCAAGAAGTACTTCTATAGTATATAGCAAGAAGTACTGTAAAAGTTAATTATACAAATTAACTTTTATATACTTTTTATTCTCAATAACAAATTTATAAGCTACACAATTTACAAAAAGATAATAGACAAAAAAGATAATCTCAGCAAAATCTAAATCATCTACTAATGGGTTTCAGTTAAAAAAAAACGTGTATTTTTTATATGAATGTATTTGCCAAAAAAAAAAAAATTTACAATGGTAGAATAAAAAACAAGTTTTCATACAACTAGGGCTAGAAAAAGACAAACTTTGTCTTGATGCCAGGACTAACCGGTATCGGTGATGAATACAGTGGTGAAGGAATGTATTCCCTCTTCAAAATAAAATTAAGGTTTAAATTTTATCATTATTTCTTCAACAGCGTGCCGAAGCAATATTGTAGAGTCTACATCAAGACCGTAGTTAAGCATTATCTCATACTCCCGAACTAAGGTGGAGGAAGCGAATTTTTTACGAAAAATTTACCTCATATAGGAGGTGAATTTCTTAAATAATTCCCTTTCCTCCCTCTTCTCTTTTGGAGAATTAGACAGTTATGCAAAATTAAAGGTTTTTAACATTTTAAGGCCCTAATTTCTGGCTAATTGAGGGGGTTGTGGTAGTTACGGCACTGGCCTGCAAACATTCCTTGATCCGTCGCTAAGCAGTATATTTATATTTGTTTTTTTCTTTTATTATAAAGAAATACATAATTTTTTAGCACTTCAAGCCAAATCGCATTTTTGCATGTTTTCACTTATGCTTGCACGTTGCACTTGCACATATGTTAATTTGCAACTACTTTGCTCTTACAAAAGACTCATATTTATGCTGTTTAGATTTATAGTAGATTCGCACGTATGAAAATTGCACTTATTAATTGCGAATTCTATAGAATTCTTGCAGTATACAAATCCTTCTAGTTAGTATTTTAGTTTTAATGGCAATCAAATGAATTAGACTGTATGTTTACATAAAATCATGATTACAGGGTCTATCAAAGGGTGGGGGAGGAGGTTGGTACAGGAGGGGAAATTTAGGGACCCAATTCCGAATTCAATGATTTTTTTTTTTGATATACCTATAAAAAGGAAGGGCTTTTAATATATATATATATATATATATATATATATATATATATATATATATATATATATATATATATATATATATATATATATATATATATATATATATATATATATATATATATATATATATATATATATATATATATATATATATATATATATGTATATATATATATATATATATATATTATATACAATATCAAAATATTACAATATTATTAAGTTAGAAACAATGTTTCTTATTAATAAAAAACATTGTTCCTAACTTAATAATACTGTACTGTATATTTCAATTAAAATATCTTAAAATAAATTTCAGATTCTTAAAATAAGAATCAAGTTCTTAAAATAAGAATCGAGTTCTTAAAATAAGAATCGATTTCTTAACATAAGAATCGAGTTCTTAAAATAAGAATCAAGTTCTTAAAATAAGAATCAGATTCTTAAAACAAGAATCAGATTCTTAAAACAAGAATCAAGTTCTTAAAATAAAAATAAAAGTTCTTAAAATAAGAACAAAAATTCTTAACCTAGAATCTTGAATTTTGCTGTGTAACGGCTTCTTGTATGACTAAAGAAAATGCTTTTATACTTTTTATTTGGTTTTTAACACAAATGTTACGAATTGCCCGTTATACATATATATACATAGTCCATGCAACTTCTGTTTGAAAAGAATGCAATGACTTCATAACATCAATGATCAGCATGACTTTAAGAATTTTTCTCAGGTAAGTCTTCATGTAATATTTTTGCCAATTATTTGTAATTACGAATAAAGGGTATAATTCTGTTAACAAAGCTTCAGCATCAAAACCAGTAAATTCAGAAATTCAACTTAATTCTTGTACACGCAACCTTTTTTCAAAAATTTTCGTTAATCCTTTAGGATCAAAGCAGGCCTCTTATTTCAAGCAGATCATTTAATGAAAACCGTCTAGTGATGCTAGAAGTTATTTAATCAGTGACTCTTTTAAAAACTTGAATTAAAAAAAGTGTTTGTATAATTAAAGGCCTTTTACTTTCACTTATTTCTCCAGGCATTTTTTTCTTCAATGAAGTTCTAGTTTCACACAATTGATTGCTTAACGTTACCTCAAGATTGCGTTAAAGCATCAGCTCATTCACTTCATTCGTAATTAATATCGTATTGTTGTAAATCTCGTCAAATTTTTTGGCTTGCAGTTGTTTTTTGGGTGTCTGCCCCATTTGCCAAGCACTTAAATATTCAATTTTTTTAGTTTCTAAGTACTTTGATGCAGGTTGTGGAACTTTGAACACTCAAAGTAGCCAAAAACCGTTTAGATGAGACTTTTAATGAGAAATTTACACCATTTTTTCACGAGCACCTAATTATTATCTAATTCTCCTTGCGTATCAAATTTTAATGTGTATCGTTGATATAGTGCAACACTGTCATAAAAACATGGAAATAATTATATTGAAAAGTATAATATGTTCTAAAAATTCTTGCTAGAGCTGCCTGTTTTAACCATCACCAAGCGTCATCTATGCCTTGCAACCTTTTGTATTTTGTTGGTGCTATGATTGGTTGAGAGCAGTTTTCTACCCAGTCATTCATGCGTTTGTAAAATTTAGAATAGAAGTTTGCAGTTTTTTGTGAAATTTCGATTAGATTTTTAACTTTTTTGGATTTCAATAATTTAATCAGTTCAGACCCTCAACTTTGTTAGCACAAAAAGACGCTTACCTACATCCTCTAAGGTATCATTGCTCAAAATAATAAACTTTTTATAAGCAACAGATGTATCTTGCGCACTATACATCTGAACAGAAAACTTTTTGCCTGCAACCTAACTAACAAATTTTTACTTCAGAATGATATCATTTACTGAAAGAGTAGCGTTTACTGTTGTTTTTAACAACATACTTTTCATATTTCAGCGCCCTTTAGATGTTTTAATTTTAATTTACTTCAAAGATTTGTCCTTCTATAGATGCCTTTACAACGCTTTTTTATAAACACAGCTGAAGGTACATTAAACTTAAAGAGTAATAAAATATTTTCAAGAAAGTTTCCTTTGTTCGGTTTCCTATCCTTTATATTTAGACCTGATTCATTCCAAAGTCCTCTGTATGGCAAATACTTTTTTTTTTAATTTTGTAACAGCCTGTATCGGTTTCAGAATTTCATTATTGTTTAATACTTTCTGTTTTTGGATAGCAATCATATTCTATTGCAATAATGAACCAATGTCATTAATACTTTTTGCATTAAATAGTGCTAATAAAGTTAATATAATAAAAATAACATTTATTATTATTATTATTATTATTATTATTATTATTAATGTTATTATTATTATTATATTAACTTTAATAATA